TGGTTCTCGCGTCTTCCCCCCGTTCTGCGCCGTTTTCCGCCGCGCCTGAGGCGGCCGGGTAGGCCTTTGGGCCTCGCCTGCACCCTCCGCGCCTTTTAGCTCTTCCTGGCCGCTACTGCTCGCTGACTGTAGGGTGCTCCTGGTCTTGAGCTTTGCGTATGGGATGAGGAGTGTGCCTGGAGCGATCCTGGGTTCAGGAGCTCAGTTCTGTCTCTAGGTGAATTTCATGGCTGTGGGATGCAGCCCTTGCCCTGTATCGAGCCCTGCTGTTTGAGAGTGACCAAACTGCTTTTTTTCCCCCCCCCGCAGGTTGACTCCTTCAGAGAACGGATCACAAGTGAGGTGAGTATCACTCTGCCATTGCCCCACAACATAACGGGTCAGAGAAGAGGCTGTTTGGCCCTATCTTTCTGACAGGCTCTGCTGTGATCTGATCTTGTTGTATAAACTTATCAGTGCTCAGGTCTTTGGTCACTGACTGAAGTGAAGCTACATAGCCTCACTTAACTGTCTTGGCATCTTTGCACTGTGCCTTTGCTTGAAGGTTGCTAGCGAGAGACACCTGTATTCTCTGCTGTCTCTTGTCTTTGGGCAGTCAATTTCCCTAATGTCCGTATCTGCTAGTGGGAAATCTCAGGCACTGTTTCAAATCGTGATCTGTTCTTTCTCTCTCAGGCTGAAGATTTGGTGGCAAATTTTTTCCCAAAGAAGCTATTAGAACTTGATGGATTCCTTAAGGTAAGATACATGTTGTCATCTGTATCCTTTTTCATTTTCAAGCTATGTGTTGGAAGGTGACCTGGTGAGGGACGAGGAATTTTATTCTTACTTTCCTTGTGTGCTTCGCCTTACTACAAAAGAGATAAGTGTTGTCTCAGAGTTGCTTGGAGGCATATGAGCGCTGTTAGCTGTAGAGGACTGATGCCTTTTTCAGTTTTCTTTGTAGGGTCAGCACACTTATGCATTCAGCAACTGCAGACCATCCTTCTTGATGCTGTGATATCACAGGGATTCTATCATGTCCAGTGTTGGAGAGAGACGATAGCTTTGATCATAATCTAGAGTTGGCATTCTGTTCTTGGGGGGAGGGGGGACATGCCACAATCCTGCTGCTAGATGTTTTTTCATTCTTCCTTCTTTTGTGGATGGGTAAGCGGGAGGTCTGTATCTTTTGTCTTCCAGTTGTGTTCAGCATGATGTTAGCTCGTAATTAAGTAACAAATCTGCGTTATTTTCCAGGAGCCTATCCTGAATATTCATGATCTCACTCAGATCCATTCGGACATGAACCTCCCAGTGCCTGACCCAATTCTTCTCACGAACAGCCATGATGGCCTGGATGGGGTAAGGTTACTCTCTTGGCTACGATCCCTGCTTCTGTTAATTAAAACTGCATGATTTGTTGTGTGTTTGGTTAGGACGTTTTCATTAACAGGCTACGGCTCTCCCAAAGGCTTTTAGGAATTGGTCTCGAGAGCCTGAGAAGCCTGCTGGGGGCAACGCTGTACTTTGCAGTCCTCCTTTGTTTTTAAAGAAGGATGCTTAGAAACCAGGAGCATAGCAAAGGCTCTAAAATTTTCCTTGTTTCCTTTGCAACGCTGTTCTAGGTTACGACTAGTTTGTGAGTAAAACATTTTGTATATTTTAGCCAAATATGAAAAAGAGGAAGCTGGAAGACCGTGAAGAGACCTTTCAGGGTAAGAGTCCCCAAGTCTCTGTGCTGCTGCCTGCCCACTGAGCCAGTATGCCATATGTTAGGGGTGTGAAATCATGTGAACCCCACTCACCCTATCCTGACAGCAGCTGCTGCCCATGCAGAGCTGCCCATGGAACCTCTCGGAGCTTGAGCTATGGGTGTCCTGTTGCGAAGGAGTCACATTCCAGCTCTTATGTCTATCAGAGAAGTCCAAATTCTGCTCCTAACTAGTATTTGCTTGAGCTTGGCATGCTGACAGAGGCAGCTGGTCTCCATGTGGATTTGTATTGAAAACCCTCCTTGTCTGAAGGAAGGTCCCAGGCTCTGGACAGATTAAGTGAGAGAAGCACCTCTTATATGTGCGTCAGGGAAAGCCTTTGTGCCAAGCTTCAGCAGCCTAGAGATCTTTAGTTCTTGTCACAGTTTTGTCTTTTCCTTCCTTTGCGGTAGTGACTGTGGTCCCATGCTAAATTTCCCCTTCCCTGCAGGTTAGCTGTAGCCTAGCTCAGTGTGTGCTACTAGCCTTTGTGGGAGATAAGATGCTCAGATGCACCTTTGGTCTGATCTACTGGTACAGCTGTTCCTATATGTTGCTGAAGCAAGGTATTTATCTCCTCTGCTGCTAGGTACCAAAGTGTTTGTGATGCCCAATGGGATGCTGAAGAGCAACCAGCAGCTGGTGGACATCATTGAGAAAGTGAAACCAGAGATCAGGCTGCTTATTGAGAAGTGTAATACGGTGGGTGTGAGCTGCAGTCCTCAGTGCTGGGGCAAGTGGAGGCAGTAGGATACTTTTGCTCCTAGAGAGGCAAAGCTTCTCCAAGTGGAAGGAACAGATCTATCTACATTCTGTAAAATGAGGGAAGGCAGGGTTTGTATTAGTTTCTAAACGTGGCTGGGGAGGTAGATGGAAGGAAGTGATGTTGTCGTGAGCCTTCAGGGGGCTCTGTAGTTCAGCTCATGAAGGAGGAAGATACCTGTTATGCAGGCTCTTTCCTTGAGGCCTTTCATCACCCTCATTTTGCACAGAATCCCAGGCACCTGCTAAGAGTTTTTTTTTTTTTGGTGTGCTCAAGAGAGAGCTTCCTATGGGAGGCTGTACTTCTGCTGTGGATCCCCAGCCATGTGGGAGACAGAATCTACTCAATGTTGTGGAAGTGAGAAGGACCTGTGGGAGTTTATCCTGAGCTACATGGCAAAGACAGGGTTTTAGGGGGCTTTTCGTAACACTTGTAAGACAGCCTCCTCTGAACATCTTAGCCCTGATCAGGGTTGTGATGGTTTATTTTTTCCCCCCACCACAGGTCAAAATGTGGGTGCAACTTCTCATCCCCAGGATAGAAGACGGAAACAACTTTGGTGTTTCTATTCAGGTAAGGCTCCATGCCATGCTGTGGGAGAGAACTGCGTTCCAGAAACATGGATCTCTCGGTTTCTTCTGAATCTTTTTACTTGATTGTATCCAGGGGCTGCAGTTATGGGACTAGTTTAGGTTTTAAAACCCAAATCTGAGCTTGAAATGGCATTGCCAAGAAGTGTCACTCTTAGAGTTGCGAAGGCCAGCTGCAGTCTCGTGAAGCTAATGGCCCCCTTGGCTGCTTTACAGGAGGAGACAGTGGCTGAGCTTCGGACTGTGGAGAGCGAGGCTGCGTCCTACCTGGACCAGATTTCTAGGTAGGTGTGGAAGAGCAGAGCCCTTTGTAGGGCCCTCTTGGGGGAAAAGTAACCTGCTTGGGTAAGGTCCCTTAGCTTTTTCTAGGGCAGGGTGGGCCAGAAAGAAATCTTGCTGTTATTTATCTGACCTTCACTCTCTCCCTTTTTCTACCAGATACTACATCACAAGAGCAAAGTTGGTTTCCAAAATAGCTAAGTACCCTCATGTGGTAAGTAAACAGGGAAATGGAGCCTTACATGTCATGTGCTGCTGCTTTTTGGGACTCTTTGGGCTTCTTCATCACTGTCCTTTCTGAGCTTTGGGGCCCCTGTGGGAGAAGGGGGGACCATGCAGGCATGCTGGACACCTATGTTAGAGAGCAAGCTGAAGGGGGAATTCTTTTACAAAAGTTGTACCAACTTCTCTTGATGCATAGGAGGCACAGCTGGGCTCAGGCCACTCAGCTGTACCTCTGCTCTCTCTAGGAGGACTACCGCCGCACAGTGACAGAGATCGATGAGAAGGAGTACATTAGTCTGCGTCTGATCATTTCAGAGCTGAGGAATCAATATGTAAGTGAGAAATGGAATTGCTGCTCTCCCCTTTCCCTGCAACTACACCTAGCCCTGGCAAGAAGCCTGTCTACTCCCCTGGTCTGCTTTTGCTCTGACAAGAAGACCTAATGGTGTATTGCCTCTCCACCATCTTCCAGAGAGACAGGTGTTCCCAGCTGTGTTGACAGCAGTCCACTGTAGAGTACTCACTGCACTTTGATGGGAGCTTGTGATCCCAAACTCTTCAGG